CCGTGGTCTCCCCGCGTGTCCCACCCCAGGCTCGCTGAGCGCGCTCGACCTGGTGGGAGGTGAACCCGCGCGTGACAGGCGGCGAGGGGGGCGACGCGGTGGTGGCCACGGTGGACCTGGGAGTCGAGGTGGTGCTCTCCTGCCTGGGCCGCGCGCGCGGGGGGGGGGGGGGGGGGTCCCACGCCCCCTCGTACTCCCTGCCGGTCCCGGCGGGGCCCCCCCACTCGGAGGAAGAGAAGCGCTGGCACCAGGCGCACGCATGACCCCCCCGCACCACCACCGCTAGAAATCCGCGGCAGCGCGAACCCTGCGACCCAAGCTGCACGTGGCCCAGGCGTGGGAGCCTGGCCCGTACCGTCCGCACCAGGGCCGGCAACCTGCGGGTCTTCGGCTGCCGCTGTGTGGGCAGCCGTTTTATGAAAAACAAACTTGACTTTATTCGGTTCTTCGCACTCTGAAATGTAGCACAAGCGGTCCCCGCTTTTACGACACGATGTCTTCTTGGAAACCCCGTCGTGAATAGGAACCTATTCTCCCACAGATGCAGTGTTAGCGTCTTTGTGACAACAAAAGTCAAACTGCATTGTTAAAGAGTAACTCGGGGGGGGGGGGGGGGGGGGAGTACCTAGACGCAATTGACTCCATCACCTATTTTGTTTATTTTAGTCAGAATGTCTGTTGTCATCTTCTGCGTGCCTGCGGCTGAGAACAAGTGGCTCTCTCTGCGTGTGATGTGGCTCTCGAAATGTTTTCTTCAAAGACACGAACAAGGTAAATGGTTCTCCCTCTCCTCCTCCTTCTTCGAAAGGTTGCCGACCCCTGGCCAAAGCGGACAGAGCAGCCAGTCAAGTAGAGTTCGGGATGTTGTGCGTGTGGAGTGGGGAGCGGTTGTGGAGCGGCTTTCGCATTGCGCTACGAACCCGGCGACCCGAGTTCGATTCCCGCTCACGGCCAACACCAGTGACGATGATCTGAACCGGTCCTGGGCCTCCCCGCCGCACCAGGTACTCATTTGATTAAGTTTCAAACGAGTACCTGGTGCGGTGTGTAAACTTCGCCAATAGGGAGACAAAGGCGGTCGGACGTGGTTCTGGCCACCCCATCCCCTCGTGTGCCGTGCCGGCCTTCACAGGTGCTCAATAACAAACATCACTTGTTTGAAAACGCCTGTTAAGGCTACACGGGGGAATCTATGTGTTGTCGTGTACGTGTGTGGACGTGCGGTGTCGTGGTCGTGGTAATTGAAGGCGGAGGGGGTCCCCAGCCCCTCGCACCCGTCCAGAGCTCCCGGCGGCCGCTGCGAGTGGCGCCGTGCGGGAGGCAGCCGATGGGCACCGGCTCTCTTCGGCGGCATCGCCCCCCGGCTACCGCCGGGCGCCGTGTTTTCTTGTTTTGCCAACAATCAGTTGGCGCAGTAGTAGTGAGCACGCGGGTGGCGCCGGTCCGCGCCCTAACTTGGGTTGACTCAGCCTCGAATGAGTGTTCGGTGCGATGGGTAAAAACATCGCGACAGGGATAGACGAAGGCAGCCGCGTGTGGTGCTGGCCACCCACTCAAACATGTGCCGTGCCGGCACTTGTCCCAACAGTCTGTTAAGGCTATACGGGGGACTTTTATATTTGTATGTATGGGTATCGCGTCCAACGCTGATTAAACTGAATGCGCGCTTTCAGCATCCACGTCACGCTGCCTGGCTCTTGTTTAGCAATCATCTGGTGCGCGCAGCGCGTAACGGCGATTTACAGCGATGCTGTTCCCCTCAATCCGACTTCATTTCAAGCGGGGGGCGTGAGCTCGAGAAAACATTCCCCGAGACCGTCTCTGGCCCACGGGGACACGGGGAGCCACTCGGGGTGAACCTGCAGCGCGCACTGCGTTCCCCTCGGGCTGTGCGGTCTCCACGACGCCCCCTCGCACGTACTCGACCCCCAGGGTAGGAGGGGGGGGGGGCAAATCCCGATTCCGCCGGGGAGGGGGCCGGGGTCCCAGGACCCTAACCCTGGTACCCCCTGAGCAGGGTTCTGCACCCCCACTAGCCCCCCTACCCCACCCCCGCTCCGTGTCCTCCACACGCCGCGGTCACGAACTTCGCGTGTAGCTACAGCGAACTCCACGGCTGGGAGGATGCTGTAACATCGTTAAGGGGCCGTCCACAAATGACGTCACGCACCTAGGGGGGGTCAGACATTTGTGACGAGGGGGGGTGAGAAATGTGACGTCACATCAAAATTTGCAATTTTAAATAAATATAGACAACACGTTCTACTTAATTAAATAGACTTTTAAATAAATATTTTATCTTACAACATCAGAGTACAGCGCCACATAAAATATGCACTACAATGTCAATAGTTTAAAGCGATTTGAAGCATGTTTTTTTGGGGGGGGGGGGGCAGAGCTTTGTGACGTCATATTTGAGGGGGGGGGTCTGACTTTTTGTGACGCCGTGTGACGATGGGGGGGGGGGGGGGGGGTCAAAAATCGTCCAAAATCGCGTGACGGCCCCTAACATGTTCGTGACAATCCGCTGCTTGATGAGGGCTCCTCCCAACGCCGTGCGGCTCGTGAGTTGTTCGATCATACTTCACCGCGCTGGTGAGCGCAGGATGGTGAAGGTGGGAGAGCATGGACGTAGAAGCATAGGAGTATGGTACAACAATGGCATGCTTGGCTTGCGAGACCTCACGAGGCGAGGCACTCACCCATCAGCGCAGAATCCGAGGACTGTATTTATTTAGACTGGAGGAACCCGATGAGCTACAACAAATCGTGTTCACAGATATCCAACACGGGCAGGGGGTGAGAACGTCACAACAACAAACAGGACACAAACACGATAGGAATGCAAAGTGTAGGAAAGGTAAACACATAACTTGAACTATTTTACATTTTCCACGTAAGGCCCACTGAGCTATGTAGTTATTTTTCAAAATCGACCTGGCCACGAATGATAGCTCAACAAAGTGGTTTATCGTGTGGAAATTTACAGCAGCAAAAATAATCTAAGAAATAATTTCAAAGCGTGTTGGTAAATGTGGAGGGGAAAACCGGAAAAACCGGAGGACCCGGAGAAAATATCCACGCGAACAGGGGGAGAAAGATGCAAACTCCAAATCGACAGGCATCAGGGTCGGGATCGAACCGCCGACCTCCTGCATACCAGGCGAGGAAGATAACATCTCCTAGCCACCGCGGTGCCACTTACATAAATAAAGTGTGTAAGTTCGAACTGCATAATCAATTCCCAAGGTTGGGAAAGGCAGTAAACCAACAGTAAAACCAGTCCCAGGCCACATCAACGCAACACACAGTCCCTCAATAAAATTGTACGTAAAAATTTCACTCTCAAGTTCAAGTTTTCAAGTTTCATTTATTAGGTATAGCCCTGTGAGCCATGCGGCTCTTGAGTCGGATGCAACCGCAAATTCACAAATCACGTTGGGAAATATGGCTGTATCTCCCATCACCACTCTCCCATCAGCACACTCACTCACTCCCATCACCACACTCTCCCAACACCCCACTCCACCATCATCACACTCACTCTCCCATCATCCCATTCACTATCCCATCATCACACTCACTCCCTCCCATCACCCCACTCACTCTCTCCCATCACACTCACTCCCCCATCACCATACTCACTATCCCATCACCACATTTTCTCCCCCATCACCACCATCACTGCCCCATCACCCCACTCCCTCCCTCCTGTCTCCCCACTCACTCCCTCCCATCACCAAACTCCCTCCCTCACCATCGCCCCACTCCCTCCCTCCCATCACCCCACTCCCTCCCGCTCATCACCACACTTACTCCCTCCCATCACCACGCCCACCCACTCCCTCCCATCACCCACTCCCTCCCTCCCATCACCACACTTACTCCCTCCCATCACCCCACTCCCTTCCTCCCTCCCATCACCACACTCCCTCCCTCCCATCACCACTCCCTCCCATCACCACACTCACGACCTCCCATCGCCCCACTCCCTCCCATCACCCCACTACCTCCCTCCCTCCCATCACCACACTCCCTCCCTCCCTCCCATCACCCCACTCCCTCCCTCCCATCACCCCACTCCCATCGTCCCTCCCTCCCATCACCACACTCACGCCCTCCATCGCCCCACTCCCTCCCATCACCCCACTCCCTCCCTCCCTCCCATCACCACACTCCCTCCCTCCCATCACCACACTCCCTCCCTCCCATCACCACGCCCACCCACTCCCTCCCTCCCATCACCCACTCCCTCCCTCCCATCACCACACTCACTCCCTCCCATCACCACGCCCACCCACTCCCTCCCATCACCCACTCCCTCCCTCCCATCACCACACTCACTCCCTCCCATCACCACGCCCACCGACTCCCTCCCATCACCCCACTCCCTCCCAACACCACGCCCACCCACTCCCTCCCTCCCATCACCACGCCCACCCACTCCCTCCCATCACCCCACTCCCTCCCATCACCACGTCCACCCACTCCCTCCCTCCCATCACCACGCCCACCCACTCCCTCCATCACCCCACTCCCTCCCATCACCACGCCCACCCACTCCCTCCCATCACCCCACTCCCTCCCATCACCACGCCCACCCACTCCCTCCCATCACCACGCCCACCCACTCCCTCCCTCCCATCACCACGCCCACCCACTCCCTCCCATCACCCCACTCCCTCCCATCACCACGCCCACCCACTCCCTCCCATCACCCCCCTCCCTCCCATCCCCACGCCCACCCACTCCCTCCCATCACCCCACTCCCTCCCTCCCATCACCCCACCCACTCCCTCCCATCACCACGCCCACCCACTCCCTCCCATCACCACGCCCACCCACTCCCTCCCATCACCCCCCTCCCTCCCTCCCATCACCACGCCCACCCACTCCCTCCCATCACCACGCCCACCCACTCCCTCCCTCCCATCACCCCACTCACATCGCCGTCACCGCCCCTCACGCCACGTGCCCCTCCCCCTCCCCCTGCGCGCGTCACTGACCACGTGGCGCGGGTCACTCCGGGCTCGCCTCTCAGCCCGCTCCGTCTCCCTCCGCGCGCTCTCGCCATGGCGCCGCTCGCCGCTCCGAGCTCCCTCCTGCTCCTCCTGCTCCTCCTGCTCTTCGTGCTCGGACTCGCGGGGCTCATCGCCTTCGCCTGGATGAGGCCGCGGCTCCGGTAACGCGGGGCGACGGGCGACTCGCGTTTCCATGGGCACGTTACGTTGCACGCGTTACCGTGGGGACCTGACTCTGCACGCGTTGTCATGAGCGTTGCCACGCGTACATCGACCTGCACGCGTTACCAAGGACACGTTACCTTGCTTGCGTTGCCATGTATACCTTCACTTGCACGCGTTACCATGGACACGTTTACTTGCACGCGTTACCATGCATACCTTCACTTGCACACGTTACCATGGGTACGTGACCTTGCACACGTTACCATGGGTACGTGACCTGGCACGCGTTACCATGCATACCGTACCTAGCGCGAGTTAACAAGGATACGTTACCTCGGAGGCGTCACTAGATATACGTTACCTTGCACGCGTTAAATGAGCGTTACCAGGGTACCGCGCCTGGTAACGCGGTACCATGATGGTTACCCCAGTAACACGCCACACTGCGCCCGTCGCCTGGCTAATCGAGTTTGAATGGACAGGGCAGTGGAGCATAGACGCCGGAGAACAGTACAGTACAACAATGGCTTTTGCTGTACTGCCCTCTGCTGACAGTATAGCCACGCGGCAGGGTGGACCCTGGATGTCTACCAGGGGGATCCAGAGCCCCCCCCACCAGGAGGTCACACGCCGTGAGGTCACGGAGCGTGTGGGGTCACGGAGCGCGTGGGGTCACGGGGAGCGTGGGGTCATGGAGCTCGTGGGGTCACGGGGAGCGCGGGGTCACGGGGAGTGCGGGGTCACGGGGAGCGCGGGGTCACGGGGAGCGCGGGGTCACGGGGAGCGCGGGGTCACGGGGAGCGCGGGGTCACGGGGAGCACGGGGTCACGGAGAGCGCGGGGTCACGGGGAGCGTGGGGTCACGGGGAGCGTGGGGTCACGGAGAGCGTGGGGTCACGGGGAGCGTGGGGTCACGGAGCTCGTGGGGTCACGGAGCTCGTGGGGTCACGGGGAGCGTGGGGTCACGGAGCGCGCGGGGTCACGGGGAGCGTGGGGTCACGGAGAGTGTGGGGTCACGGGGAGCGCGGGGTCACGGGGAGCGCGGGGTCACGGGGAACGCGGGGTCACGGGGAGCGCGGGGTCACGGGGAGCGTGGGGTCACGGGGAGCGTGGGGTCACGGAGCTCGTGGGGTCACGGAGCTCGTGGGGTCACGGGGAGCGCGGGGTCACGGAGAGCGCGGGGTCACGGAGCGCGTGGGGTCACGGAGCGCGCGGGGTCACGGGGAGCGTGGGGTCACGGAGAGTGTGGGGTCACGGGGAGCGTGGCTCCGCGATGGAGGCGAGCCGGCGTCCTTGTCATTTGGCAGCAGCTCAGCACGGGCCCAGTCGTCCAAAATCGTCAAGCAGCCCAGCAGCTGGCCCCTCTGCACAGGGGTCACAGTGGGAGGGCACAGGCGGTGCATCTGCCAGCCACGTCGCTGTACACCGCAGCGTCGTTCACGCGACTTCAGCACACATGCGTGTGCCCTCCGCAACTCACAGAGTCGCGGAGGTGAAGATGCCTCCAGCCTATGAGCCAGTGTTTATTATGCACGCGGGAGGAAATGGGAGCACCCGGGAGGAAATGGGAGCACCCGGGGAAACCCTACGCATGAGAGGGGGCGACACTTGGTCGCGGACAGATAGGACAGATGATATTAGCCCTGGCTGCTCCTCCTCGATGCCCACGGGAAGGCAGTTTCACAAACTCTGTGTGATGATCCCCCAACCCACGCCGCCTCCATAGCGCAGGATTGCAGGCAGCCACGTGCACAGCCACCACCGCCAGGAGATCGTGGGTTTGATCCCGTCCCTGATGCTTGTGTATTTTGGGTTTGCGTGTTCTCTCCGTGGTTCAGTGGAATTTTCTCCGGGTCCTCCGGTTTTTCCCTCAACATTTAGAAACGTGTGTTTGGAGTATTTGCCTGCTGTGCATTTCTGCAAGAGAAGCCACTTTGTTGAGATATCATCTGTGGGCAGGTCGCTTCTAATAAAGAGCTACATAGCTCAGTGGGCCTTACCTGGTCAAATATTTTTTTTTTAGTTGAGTTTAACCAAAAGCACCTGGGACTGTTCCGTAACCTCCTGCCGACAAGCCTTCAACACCGCACGTGATGGCCTCGAAGTGCACCTAGCCTGGCACAAGCCGCTGTGGTTGTTGTCCTGTCCCCGTGCGGCAGGCGGTACGTGGCGGGCAGGCGGTGCCCCTCGGCGGCGCGCGTGGACGGGAAGACGGTGGTGGTGACCGGGGCGAGCAGCGGCATCGGCAAGGAGACGGCGCTGGAGCTGGCCAGGAGAGGTGAGCGTGGGCCCCGCGGGACCCCGGTCCCTCATCACCAACAGGCCGAGACCCCGAGGCACTCATCTCGGTGGCCCTGACCTGGAGCCCCCAACCGTATAGGGCAAGGTTGAACTGTGGTGCCCAGTGGGGCTCATGACGAGGTGGCGTGGTGCCGACAGTACACGTGCAGTCACATGTCGCATGCACCGATGAGATGATGGGGCGTCTGTACACGTCTCCAGAGGGCTCTCGCCGATGTCGCGCGTTTATCTCGCATTTGCTGTCATTAATCTGTTTCTCTCATCTCCGGAACCTCACCAATCTGTATCCTCATCTCCCAGTGGGATATTTCTCTCGGGGCCACTCTACGAGCCTCGTAGTGGACCTCCCCCCCCCTCCTTGCACTCCCTGTGACGGCCCCGCCGTGATGGCGTGATGTTCCCGGGCCCGCAGGTGCACGAGTCATCATGGCGTGCCGGGACACGCGCAAGGCCGAGGCGGTGGCAAGCGAGTTGCGCGCGCACTCGGGGAGCCACGAGGTGCACGTGCGGCACCTCGACCTCGCCAGCTCGGCCTCCATCCGTGACTTCGCACAGAAACTCCTGCAGGGTGCGTACGGGGAAGGGGGGCTGGGGGGGGGGCAGTGGGGGAGAGAGCGGCACCCCCCTGTCACCAGCTGCTGTACCTCCGCCACCGTCACCAGCTGCTACATCTCTGCCACAGTCACCATGCAGCAACGACCACTTCCTTTGAACTCCACCGCCTCCTCTGCTGTCACCTCCACCACAACATCCTCTACCACCACTACTACCTCCACAAAGATACAAAGATCCCCTGTATAGCCTTAACAGACTGTTGGGACAAGAGCCGTAAGTGAGCACTATGAAGACCGGCATAGCACAAGAGGGGGTGGGTGACCAGCACCACGCCCCTGGCCGCCTTAGTCTCCGTAGTGGGGATGTTTACACACCGCACCAGGTACTCATTTGAGGCTGAGTCGACTTAGGGGAGGCCCAGGACCGGTTCAGATAATCCTCACTGAGCGGGAATTGAACACGGGTCGCCAGGTTCGCAGCGCAGTGCGCTAACCGCTACAGTACCACTCCGCAACCATCTCCACGGCCACCTCTGCCACGACACGATTACTCAAGTCAAACCCCCTCCCCCTGCAAGTGGGAATACCCGTGCCACACAATCATTGTTGTACGGTATCTATATGCTCCCACAAGACTGCCTCCGTGTCTTCACTGCCAAGACAACGTGTGGCAGGCACTCGCCCAGCAGGAGAGTGATGAGGGGCTGTCCGTGTGTGTCCGTGGAATCTTTGCAGAGGAGCCTCGGGTGGACGTCCTCATCAACAACGCCGGCGTAATGATGTGCCCCTACCAGAAGACGGCCGACGGCTTTGAGATGCAGCTGGGAGTGAACTACCTGGGTGAGGAGTGCCTAGGCAGTGCCCGTCACACCAAAAACACAAAGATCGCCCCCGTGTAGCCCACACGGGCTGTTGGGGCAAGTGCTGTGAGCGAACACAACCTATGAAGGCCATCGCAACGCAAGAGTGGGTGCTGTGGTCTGTACCAAGCCCAGCCACCTTTGTCTCCCCAATGCCGAGTCGACCGACCTGAGGCCTAGGACTGCTTCAGATTTTCGCCACCAGAGTTGGCCATGAGCAGGAATCAAACTCGGGTATACGCCACTGCTCCCCACATGCAAAGACAAAGATCCCCCTTATAGCCTCAACAGACTGTAGGAGCAAGTGTTATTAGCGAGCACCTATGAAGGCCGACACCACACCCAGCCGCCTTTGTTTCTCTTGTGACGATGTTTACACACCGCACCAAGTACTCATTTGAGGCGAAGTCAACCTAGGCGAGGCCCGGGACCAGTTCAGATAATCGTCACTGTTGGCCATTAACGGGGATCGATCCCGGTTCGCCGGGCTCGTAGTGCAGCGCGCTAACCGCTACACTACAACTCCCCCCCATGCACACACGGAGACACAGACACACCATTCAATCGCGCACTCCCTCAGCGTGGCAGCAGGAACACTAAACAAATTAGCAGCGGCAGCTTTCAAATACAACTTGAGCCAAGTCTTTTTCTATTCAACTCTTTGTCAATCCACAGCTGGATAAAGGCCGCCCCGTGCTATGTCAGCCTTTGGAGTCGTCTTGACCACACGGTACTTGGCTTCTTCGCTCGTCAGGGCAGATCGGGCAAGGGGGTGTGTGGGGCAGTGCCAGTTCAGATTTAACTGCTCGCCACCGATGTCAACAACGCCAATCGCTGTGCCTCCACTGACCTGCTGAAAATAAACGAAACTATTTCAAGAGCTATGTTTATTTTTCCAGGTAAGGCCCACTGAGCTATGTAGCTATTTTTAAGAAGCGACTTGGCTATCACAAATGATAGCTCAACGAAGTGGCTTATCACGTGGAAATTTAGAGCAGTCAAATACTCCAAATGCACGTCGATTCTAAATGTGGTGGGAAAACCCAGAGGTCCCGGAGAAAAATCCACATGACCACGGGGAGAGAGACGTGCAACCTCCAAATATGCAGGCATCAGGGTCGGGATCGAACCCACGTACCTCCTGCATACCAGGTGAGGGAGTTAACATCTCGCAACCGTTGCGCGTGCGTCGCGTCATCCCGCGACAGAGGAGAATCGAGCGGGGCGATCGTTGCCTAACAGCCTCTCCCGCACGCTGCCCCCTCGCCACGCTCCTCTCCCCCCCCCTCAGGCCACTTCCTGCTCACCCACCTCCTGCTGGACGCGCTGCGGCGCGCCGGCGGGCGCGTGGTGTGCGTGGCGTCGCTCGGGCACATCTTCGGCCGCATCTCCTTCTCGGACCTCATGTCGGCGCGCTGGTACTCGCCAGGGCTCGCCTACTGCCAAAGCAAGCTGGCCCTGGTGATGTTCGTGCGGAGCCTGGCGAGCAGGCTGCAAGGCGAGGCACCGCGCGGCACGCACCGCTCCCAACGGGGGTGGTAGCTCAGTGGCAACACTCGTGTCTCAGAGCAACGAGGGCCTGGGTTTGATTCCTGATTCGGGCGTCTGCTGTGTGGAGTTTGCACGTTCCACCCCTCTTCTGCATTGGGTTTCCTCCCGCTTCTCTGGTTTCCACCCACAGATAATAACAACTCGCACATGCACAATGTAACTGATATTGGCCAAAACATCCCAATGCTGAAAGATTACCTTGCAAATCACTCAGTCGGGTTTAAACACAGCAGCATCGCCCCCGACTAGCGTATGGCAAAGGATGTGCATGCTATGCGTGCAGGTTTAAGCTTGTAGATGAGGCGCGCGTAGAAGAGAGCGGCGATTGATGATGGGGCCACCGCAGTTGTTCTTGGCAGAACAGGGCCGTGCGGAGTGGTGGTGGGGGCCCCGCGGTGAGGCTCCGGATGCGGAACCTCGGCGCGACGCCTCGGCGCGACGCCTCGGCGCGACGCCTCGGCGCGACGCCTCGGCGCGACGCCTCGGCGCGACGCCTCGGCGCGACGCCTCGGCGCGACGCCTCGGCGCGACGCCTCGGCGCGACGCCTCGGCGCGACGCCTCGGCGCGACGCCTCGGCGCGACGCCTCGGCGCGACGCCTCGGCGCGACGCGCTCGGCGCGACGCCTCGGCGCGACGCCTCGGCGCGACGCCTCGGCGCGACGCCTCGGCGCGACGCCTCGGCGCGACGCCTCGGCGCGACGCCTCGGCGCGACGCCTCGGCGCGACGCCTCGGCGCGACGCCTCGGCGCGACGCCTCGGCGCGACGCCTCGGCGCGACGCCTCGGCGCGACGCCTCGGCGCGACGCCTCGGCGCGACGCCTCGGCGCGACGCCTCGGCGCGACGCCTCGGCGCGACGCCTCGGCGCGACGCCTCGGCCGACGCCTCGGCGCGACGCCTCGGCGCGACGCCTCGGCGCGACGCCTCGGCGCGACGCCTCGGCGCGACGCCTCGGCGCGACGCCTCGGCGCGACGCCTCGGCGCGACGCCTCGGCGCGACGCCTCGGCGCGACGCCTCGGCGCGACGCCTCGGCGCGACGCCTCGGCGCGACGCCACGCCTCGGCGCGACGCCTCGGCGCGACGCCTCGGCGCGACGCCTCGGCGCGACGCCTCGGCGCGACGCCTCGGCGCGACGCCTCGGCGCGACGCCTCGGCGCGACGCCTCGGCGCGACGCCTCGGCGCGACGCCTCGGCGCGACGCCTCGGCGCGACGCCTCGGCGCGACGCCTCGGCGCGACGCCTCGGCGCGACGGCCTCGGCGCGACGCCTCGGCGCGACGCCTCGGCGCGACGCCTCGGCGCGACGCCTCGGCGCGACGCCTCGGCGCGCGCCTCGGCGCGACGCCTCGGCGCGACGCCTCGGCGCGACGCCTCGGCGCGACGCCTCGGCGCGACGCCTCGGCGCGACGCCTCGGCGCGACGCCTCGGCGCGACGCCTCGGCGCGACGCCTCGGCGCGACGCCCTCGGCGCGACGCCTCGGCGCGACGCTCGGCGCGGACGCCTCGGCGCGACGCCTCGGCGCGACGCCTCGGCGCGACGCCTCGGGCGACGCCTCGGCGCGACGCCTCGGCGCGACGCCTCGGCGCGACGCCTCGGCGCGACGCCTCGGCGCGACGCCTCGGCGCGACGCCTCGGCGCGACGCCTCGGCGCGACGCCTCGGCGCGACGCCTCGGCGCGACGCCTCGGCGCGACGCCTCGGCGCGACGCCTCGGCGCGACGCCTCGGCGCGACGCCTCGGCGCGACGCCTCGGCGCGACGCCTCGGCGCGACGCCTCGGCGCGACGCCTCGGCGCGACGCCTCGGCGCGACGCCTCGGCGCGACGCCTCGGCGCGACGCCTCGGCGCGACGCCTCGGCGCGACGCCTCGGCGCGACGCCTCGGCGCGACGCCTCGGCGCGACGCCTCGGCGCGACGCCTCGGCGCGACGCCTCGGCGCGACGCCGGGCGACGCCTCGGCGCGACGCCTCGGCGCGACGCCTCGGCGCGACGCCTCGGCGCGACGCCTCGGCGCGACGCCTCGGCGCGACGCCTCGGCGCGACGCCTCGGCGCGACGCCTCGGCGCGACGCCTCGGCGCGACGCCTCGGCGCGACGCCTCGGCGCGACGCCTCGGCGCGACGCCTCGGCGCGACGCCTCGGCGCGACGCCTCGGCGCGACGCCTCGGCGCGACGCCTCGGCGCGACGCCTCGGCGCGACGCCTCGGCGCGACGCCTCGGCGCGACGCCTCGGCGCGACGCCTCGGCGCGACGCCTCGGCGCGACGCCTCGGCGCGACGCCTCGGCGCGACGCCTCGGCGCGACGCCTCGGCGCGACGCCTCGGCGCGACGCCTCGGCGCGACGCCTCGGCGCGACGCCTCGGCGCGACGCCTCGGCGCGACGCCTCGGCGCGACGCCTCGGCGCGACGCCTCGGCGCGACGCCTCGGCGCGACGCCTCGGCGCGACGCCTCGGCGCGACGCCTCGGCGCGACGCCTCGGCGCACGCCTCGGCGCGACGCCTCGGCGCGACGCCTCGGCGCGACGCCTCGGCGCGACGCCTCGGCGCGACGCCTCGGCGCGACGCCTCGGCGTTCGCCAGCGGTCGTCAGGGCCCTCCTGACAATAGTCCCGCGAGCCTTTCCTGGGTAAACACGCGGGAGGAGGCTCCGTCGCGACAATAACAACAGCGATGATGCTTGGGAGTGCGTCAATCGCTCACCCTCGCTTATCCCCCCCATGGCCTCCAGGGTGCATCTTGTACTCGCCAAGCAGTGCGATTCGGAATCTTTATCGTGAAGGAATCCGATGAGCTGTGAAGCCCTTTTCCCACAGATGTCCGGTATTGCAGGGCCAGCGAGTTCCCTCAACAGAAATCAGAGCGATCGATCTCCCGCTGCTGCTGCTGTTCACATGACCCATCGAGGCATTGGTGCCCATCTCTTCACCGCCTTGCAGAGCCAGTGGTGGAAATTCCACACTCCTATAACGGGGCCGGGTCTATCCGTACAACCACTGTTGACTTCCACGCAAAGTGGTGCCTATTTTACCGACCCCTGGAGGGAGGTAGGGATGATGGGCCGAGTCAACCTCCCCCAACCAGGATTTGAACTCGCAGCTTGACGATTGCGAGCCACTCGCTCTCCCGACGAGCCACGCGGCCGGTGGTTGGATGTAAGCGGCAGGGCGGCTGCTGCGGTGCGAAGCAGTGGTTCTCAACAAATAGAATGTATCGCCACAGTAGTGGATACATCACCGAGTTCATTAGTTCTGAAACGGGGGTATGCGGACCCCTGGGGGTACATGAGGTGATTCATAAATGCGTGAAATTATATCACACAGGAGTCATTGGTGAATAATCACGTAAGAATCTGCCAATATAAATAACTACGATAAAATGGAAATCCATATCGTAACCTAGAACCATATAAAAACCTTTCTAAACTCGTTCATAGTAAACAATGTGGCTTCCAACAGTAACCAGCGAGTGCGAACACATCACGTCATTCGTGCAAATCGTCCGTTGAATTGTTTTTATTCGCTTGCAGTTACGAGCTAGTTGGGATACTGTACCTCACAAAATTGACAATTAGTTAAAATATTGATGTTCATTATTCATCCGCTTATTTCTCAGAACCATGTTGGGTCTGGCAAGGGGTAAAACGATGGTTGAGAACCACCGATTCAAACCACCGCGCACACTCATAAAGCTGCTACGTTGTACACAGCGGCCACGCATCGCCTTTGAATAGTGGTGTGCGGTAAAAGTGGTTTATACATTTGTAGCCTAGCGCTGACATGGGGTGGGGGAGGTGGGGGGCTGTAAAGTGCAGTACCTGCAGACGTGGATCCAGAAACCTCCCAAGTTGCGGGGGGGCGGTTGCGGGGGGTGATTGCCCCCCCCCATCCCCCCCATCCTACCACTGGGCATATGCGTCTGTCCTTAAGCAGCAAGCGTAAAGGTCGCACTCATTGTACACAAAGTGTTTGTCACGGATGAACCACAATCCCTTGCTGATCTCGTCAAGGAGCATAAACCGTCACGCGAACTGCGGTCATCTTCGCAGTGGAGTTTTGGCGAACCATCGAGTAAAGACGGCGGCCACCGCATCGCGAGCTTTCAGATGCGCTTCTGCGGCCGTCTGGAACGCTCTTCCGATCATAGGAAGCCACTGGAGCTATGCCCTTTTAAATCTCGATTGAAAACTCATTTCTTGAGAACCGCTCTTTGAGTTTAGTTTGTTGTCCTTCCCCCGCACCTCCGATTAGCGCGGTTGGCCACGTACGGTGCGAAAGAAGTTCAACACACGTACATGACGCGACGAGAGCATGGCGCGCACCCCCCCCCCCCCCCCCCCCCCCCCAGTGTCTCACAGTGGGCGCCGTTTTTTTTTTTATTAGACGCTTTCTTGTAACTCACTCTATACTCTTAGGTTTTTTCGGTAAAGTCACGTAGGTAAAAAACAATAAGAAAATAAAATAATAATAAATGAAAAAAACTCATTTATTATTATTTAATTACATTTTTATACCTACGTGACTTTACCAAAAAAATCTAAGAGTATGAATCCTTGCAGTTACGAAAGCTTCAAATCTAGAATTAACTCACTCTGTTGTTGTTGTCGTTATTGTATCCTCAAATCTTGTAACTCAATTTTAACCCACTTCCCAATGTGGTATCGACTGCAAACTTGGTATACTTATGTCATACTGATGACAATACTATATTCTATCATAAAAAAAGTTTTTTATATGTCCAGGGTCCCTTACGTTATGGCAAGTTCGGGGCCACTTCCTGGAGTCGGAGTTCTCCCATTACGAGTACATTTCATAAAAGCGTGTACATTTTTTTTAAAAATATGACTTTTTCCCTCGCGCGTAGGCACCGGCGTGTCGGCGTTCGCGGTGCACCCCGGCACGGTGCACTCGGAGCTCCCGCGTCACTCGAAGCTCATGACGCTGGCCTGGTGGCTCTTCTCCCCGTTCATCCGCACGGCTGAGCAGGGAGCGCAGACCTCGGTGTTCTGCGCCGTGGCCCCCGAGATATCGGCGCTGTCCGGGGGATACTTCAGGTGCGTCCGTCCGTCCGGAGCGGGGGGCTCGGGGTTTCGACCGCGACGCTGGAGTCGGCACCGGCGCAGGCTCGAGCGAGCCGGCTCACAACCGTGCTGAACTTGAGCGTGAAGTCAGAATCGGTCCCACATTGAGACACTGGAGGTCGGCAGAGCTGCGTGTGCGACGGCCTGCCATGGCGGTGTTCACGTGGTCCGGGCCACACCACCCCCTCGTCCGTTATAGGTGCTACTCGCTAACGGCACTTGCCCCAACAGTCTGTGGAGGCGACAGACACAGTGGGATATTTGTCTTGTCTTTAAGGTGTGAATGCAGAGAACTTGGGGAGCTGTGGTGCAATACCCGTCCACGAAAAACAGTGGTGACGAGCGATAACTGAACCGGTCTAAAGCCTCCCTGAGATCAACTCGGCCTTAAACGAGTGGCTGTGTGGCGTGCCAACATCAGTTCATCGGAGAAGAGGGCGGCCGGGCGTGGTGCCACCCATTTTCACCGTCTCGTGCGTCGCCGACGCCTCAATCGGCACTCGCGCAGCCTGCCGGCAGCACGAGTACGGCTAATCCTGACTGTTGTCGTCGAGCAGAGAGATGCTCCTGCAGGGCGGGAGGGGGAGGCTGATGATGGTGATGGAGGCGCTGCGGGACCTGACCGGGCCGGTCTCGTCTCGTTACAGCGACTGCGCCGAGGCGGCGGTGGCGTGGCAGGCGCGCCGCGACCCCACGGCGCGGAGACTCTGGGCCGAGAGCTGCCGGCTGCTGGGCGTTCGCTGGGAGTGAGCGGCGTCGCGCTTCTGGGGACCGGTCTCAAGGACCCTCCCTCCCCACAACTCGAGCACCAGCGGCGCGGCTGGAACAGCGTCGTGCGCCACGTACACGCAGCCAGACGCACGCACGGACGTCGCGCGCGCACACACAGGCAGACACGTACAGGCATGTACAGACGCACGTAATGACACAGGCAAATGCTCGCAGACGCTTACAGGCAGCTATTCATCACAGATGGTGGCTGCGAGCATAAATCAAACTCTGGCAGCCAGGTTAGTTACGCGGGGCGCCAAGCACTGTGCCGCCACTCCACCCAAAGACAAAGATCCCCTGTATAGTCTTTCCAGACTATTGGGGCAAGTGCTACAAGCGGCACACGAGAGAGTGGGTGGCCAGCACCACGCCCGGCCGCCTTTGTCTCCCTTAGTGGCAATGTGTACACACTGCACCAGGTACTCGTTTGAGGCTTAGTCGACCTCGAAGAAGCCCTGGACCGTTCACCACTGTTAATGGTGGCAAGCGGGAATCGAACTCCGGTCGCCGGGTTCGTAGCGCGGCGCGCTAACCGTTACACTGCCGCTGCACGCACGCACACGCACACACCCAGACAGACGCACACGCACACACCCAGACAGACGCACACGCACACACCCAGACAGATGCACACGCACATTGTTTACATGGGTGGAGGCGGTGTCCGGCAAGGGCCTCGTGTCGGCTCCACGCGGCGCGTGCTCCTCCTTTCAGAGGGCCTCCCGCAGGCCGCGTGACTCGCCGAGAAACAGTCGCGTGCCATTAAACGCCGCGTCAAGGACACGAAGCTCGCGAGTGTGATGATTACAGACAGAGGCGCGCACACCGGCCACCTCGTCGCTCGCCTTCCCGCAGGCCCCCCCCCCCCCCCATTCACCACTCGCATGACACCAAGCGGTGTGCAGTAGCTATCGAGTGTGCAGGCGGTTGAACTGCGATTTTTTCTTCTAGTGCAAGCAGCAGGTGGTACTGCACGTGTACTGTAAACTGCACGTGCAGGGTTGAGTTTCCGAGGGGGCTGGCGTGACGAACGCGGCCCCAAACCCGCCGGCCGAGAGCAGACCGCGTGGGCAGGGTTGCGATTTCCGCATGGAAAATGCGGGAGGGTTCAAATTTTCCCGCATTTTTGCTAAAGTCAACCGCAAACGGTGGAAAGACTACTCCTATGACCGCGCGCTTTTAACAACACGGTAATGCGTTCTATTGGAAAGGATACATGCAAGGCCCAGCATCACGTAGGGCTTTGAGTTACTGATTGGAATGAATATATGATTTCCGCATTTCCGCACAAGAACCACATACTTTATTCAAAAGCGGAGCCGTGATTACGAGCACATGTACATGATGTATCCTTTCCAATAGAACGCATTAACGTGTTGTTAAAAGCGCGCGGTCATAGGAGTAGTCTTTCCACCGTTTGCGGTTGACTTTAGCAAAAATGCGGGAAAATTTGAACCCTCCTTCCGCATTTTCCATGCGGAAATCGCAACCCTGCGCGTGGGACACCGCAACGCGCTGCGCTGTGGGGTTCGGGCGGCCGCAGTCCCTGCACTGTGTGGGGAGAGGCGGGGGGGAGGTCATCTTTAATTTTCCAAATTTTCCACTGCACTTGTGCCCACGGGACTGAGGGGCGTGGGTGGGTGGGAGGCGGGAGGAGGAGAAGTGGGTAAGGGGGTGGTGGGGACGGGAAGACGTGGGCGGGCGAGCGGATGGAGGGAGCGGGGTTGGGGATTAAGTTCACACGCGACTTTTGGACGTGACCGTGAATCGCGTAACCGGCCGCACAGTTTCCACCCGCGCGAAATAAGGGCAAGAACGACGACTCCGATTCACGTACATTCTTGATCTCCACGATACATGCAGAGGCGATGTCTGTCCATCCGTATACGATGCACGAATTCATCCCGCCCCGAGTGGGATATGAAGAGAGAGGGAGAGAGAGGGAAAGAATACACCGCGGGGAATGAGTGATGAGAGAGGCTGTCACACCGCACCACGATTGTGCCCGTCTCGTTGGAAGTCACGAAGTCGGGTCAAGTTCAAGGTCAGGGGTAGTGTTTGGGATATGTCAAGGTCTGGGGTAGGGTTAGTGATTGGAATGTGACAGGGTCAGTGTCAGAGTTAGTGCTTGGGACGGGTCAGGGTGAAGGGATTGAAAGGGATTAAAAGGGATTAAAAGGGCCCCCCCCCCCCCCCCCCGCTGTCCAGTGCACGGAGCAGTTGCACCGCCTGCACATTCGACAGCCACGCCGCTGTGGTAGCCGCTACAACGCCAGGGTCCGGTCTCCGTGTCAGGCGGAGGAGTCCGGGGCACGCGGCTCCGGGGGCCACATCCTCCACCTCGCCCAACCCACGTACAGAGTTCGTCATAAACCGGTGCACAGGAGTATGTGCATCTAGAGTAGACTCGCGTAGATTGTGGACATTCACACAGTGGTCAAAGTGGCCCTGTATACCATGGTGTGCCATACGTCAACACCGGTTTGTACAGGAGTCGAGTCCACACCGGGACTTGTACACATTTACATTTTGACACCTTGGATAGCCATACCTTGTACTCTAGTGGTAGTGCCTTATGTCAATATTCCCTATGCCAAGCCAGACTTGCAGCGTTGTGTAAAATACTGAGAAAGTGAGCGCCTTGTTGTGGTCCTGGCCAGGGCTGGGTTCTCTGTGAGACGCGCCGAGATCAACGCAGTGCGTGGACAAACGGAGACCCAGGGTCAGACTCGATGGGGTCAGGGTCACCACCTGACCTGTCTGACATCGTGGTCCTTCGCAGACCCCTCTCCGTCATCGCGAGCAGCAGTGGTTGCACGATACATGGTTAACACAATCGTTAGCAGTGGCAAAGAGTTAACATGAGTTCTAGATTTGAAGCTTTCGTGACTGCAAGGATTCATACTCTTAGTTTTTTCGGTAAAGTCACCTAGATAAAAAAAATGAAATTAAAATGAATAAAAGTAATAATAGAAATAAAATAATAAAAAATCACGGCGTTTCGGAGGCAACACAAGTCTCCGTCATCAAGTGGGACCGTCACAGCCAGATCTGCTGTAATAAGTGAGGCAGGGATTCCAAGATGCATCTTGGAATCACTACCTACGTGACTTTACCCAAAAAACTAAGAGTATAGTTAACATGAGGTTTAACAGTGTCAACACAACCGTGAACAGTGGTAACACGAGTGTGAGCAGTGGTAACTTCAGCGTGAGCAGTGTTAACTCAAGCGTGAGCAGTGCTAACTCCAATGTGAGCTGACTCCCCCCCCCCCCCCCAAGTCCTTTAAGGACCCCTCCTCCTAGCCAACGAGCCATTGTTGAGCGTGGCCCCGAAGGGTCGAGTCGTCACTTTTCCACCGAAGAACAAACCCGCGCACACCTCTCAAAGTTCGTGTAACGCCGGTATTCAGATGTCGGCGGCACACATCAACTCCTGGCACCCGGACGCGCTTCACCACCGCCCCCGGGGCCGCCCCGGGTGGGGCGGCGCCATAGGCGCTCAGTAGAGGCCCATGGTGTTGCGCTCACGGCCCGCCTCGGGCACGGCGCTGGACACGCGCTTGCGCTGCCTCTTGACCTTGAGGAGGTCCTTGTCGAAGACGTCGCCGGAGCGCAGCGCCGACACGAGCTCGTCGAACTCGCCCTGGTCCCCGTCGGGGCCCGCGGCCGCCCGGCGCGCACTCCGCTCCCGCTCGCGTTGCTCCTTCATCTGCGGTGGCCGGCGGGGGAGGCAGAATCAGAATCTTTATTTAGACTGGGGGAAAATCCGATGAGCTACGAAGCTTCTTTTTATTATCTCGCAGATGTCGCACTTAGGGGGCACAGGGTCAGAAAGTTACAACAAAGGAGAGAAAATCACTAAAGATAAATACGTAAAGTAGAGTATATAAGTTCTAATTGTATAAGTACACCAATTCCCAAGGCAGTAAAACAACAGCAAGAACAGTCCCAGACCAGTTATTGCATCTGTCAAATATAATGGATTGGCAACCTACCCATCAACCAAAGCCTCAACAATGTACCACGTCACCAACTCAACTCCCGATCCTCCTTCTGGGATGGCACCGTCACCACCCGAGAATCTCGCCCAGAGACGCAGAGACTCGTCCACTCCCTCCGAGAACCGGGTCCTCTGATGGTCTCACTCTATCTCTCTCTGAGAACCAGGATCTTCGGCCCTCGTTGTCGCTCTTTGCAGTGAAGCTGTCAGATTTATTTGTACCTTCATTCTGGCCACATTGCGGTTGATGTGCCACGAGATGGAGGTGATTCCATTGCCGTGTGGCTGCGGAGGACAACGCCTGGCTGAACCAGCGCTACTAAAATCTGGATTTCGGCCGCCCGCGGTTAAACCGGGGTGCCCCCCAGCGTGGCCAGTTTACAGCCTCGGCCTGTAAACATCATTCGCCACGGTGGCGAGATGTTATCTCCCTCGCCCGGTATGCAGGAGGTCGTTGGTTCTATCCTGACCCTGACGCCTGCTATATATGCAGAGTTTGCGTGTTCTTCCCGCAGTTGCGTGGGTTATTCTCCAAGTCCTCCAGTTTTCCCCTGCACATTTATAAACATGAGTTTAGATTATTTGGCTGCTATAAATTTACACGTGATAAACCACTTCGTTGAGCTATGATTTGTGGCCAGGTCGCTTCTGAAGAATAGTTATATAACTCAGTGGCTTGTACCTCCAACACACCGGTGTTCTGCACTAGTGACGAATTGTCACGTTCTGTTTACGTGACAACCCTTACGAGTTGGCTGCGTCGGTGGTGGCGGGTTTTAACGACACATTTATATATTTACGCGATCTAACCCAAAAACCTCTATTATGGATAAAATTAAATAGTTAACACGCTAGATTCAGGTTTTGACTCAAACTGCCTCGATTCCACCTTTCAGGTCCTCAACGATCACAAACACCAAGCCATCCGCGGCCTCTCACTCTTGATCCGAGCCCTGAGTTGACCTCCGACCCGAGCCCTCTACGCGTGTGCGACCCACCTGTGCGTCGAGGCGTGCCCTCTTCTCCTCCTCCTCCCTCTTCTTCCTCGAGTCCTCCAGCTCGTGCTGGGCCTCGGTGAAGGCCTGCAGGAACGTGTCCAGGATCCCGAAAAACTCCTCGGGCTGCGAGCGGCTCGCATCCTCCCCAAAGTGACCCACGGCCCAGCTGAACTGAGGCCGTGGGGGTAGGGGGGGGAGGGAGGCGGGGGAGGAGAAAGGAGGGGAGTAACAGGGAGGGATACGGACAGCAGAGTGACAGGGGGAGAGAGAAGGGAGAGCGAGAGAGGCGGCAGGGGGGATATAGGGGACAAAAGAAAGAGGGAGATGGGGAGAGAGGGGAAAAGGAAGTGGGCAGGGGAAGGGAGCAGCGGGGGAGAGGGAAGGGAGGGGGAATGGTGGGGGAGGGAGGTGGGAGTGCGAGGCGGAGAGGAAGTGACAAGCGGGAAGGGGGGAGACAAAGGGGGACGAGAGAGGGGTGGCGGTTACTTGAGGAAAGACACTGTACAGGTTCCTGCACACCTGTTGCTGCGGTAGCTGCGGTAGTTGTGTTACAGTGGTAGCTGTGATAGCTGCAGTAATGTAGTTGTGGTCGTGTAGCTTTAGTAGCTCTGCGGAAGTTAAGCTGTAGCTGTGATAGCGTTAGCTGTATTTGCGAAAGCTGTATCTGTGGTAGCTGTGGAAGCTGTGGTAGCTGCAGTAGCTGTAGCAGCTGTGGAAGCTGTGGTAGCTGCAGTAGCTGTAGCACCTTCTGCTTGGCGTCGCACAGTGCCTCCTCGAGCTCGGAGAAGCGGTAGCTGCCCACGTTGATGAAGCTCGTCATCACGGGGACGAACCTATCCCCCTGGCCCGACGGGCTGGCGCGCTGGTACACCAGCTCCTGGGGCGGGGTGAGGGGCACGAGTCAGGGTGGGGGGGGGGGGGGGCTCATCGCTGGGGGCCCTTGCCACATCAATAAGGGCTGTTCCTGGTGGTGCCGGAGTGGGGGGGGGGGGGGGCTCCCCCACGGTATGGGGTCAAGGGGTCTCAGGGGTCGTGCTGGGCAGGACCAGTGTTCACGGCACCACCTGTGCTGGGTGTGGGCAGCTGTGAACTAGGTCCTGGGTGCTGCCCTGGGTGTTGCCCTGGGTGCTGTTATCGCTGCTGTGCACTGGTGTCACCACTGGTGTCACCACTGGTGTCACCACTGGTGTCACCACTGGTGTCACCACTGGTGTCACCACTGGTGTCACCACTGGTGTCACCACTGGTGTCACCACTGGTGTCACCACTGGTGTCACCACTGGTGTCACCACTGGTGTCATCACTGGTGTCACCACTGGTGTCATCACTGGTGTCACCACTGGTGTCACCACTGGTGTCACCACTGGTGTCATCACTGGTGTCACCACTGGTGTCACCACTGGTGTCATCACTGGTGTCACGACTCACGTCCTCGACGCTCTTGAGCTCCTTCTTGATGTTGTTTATTTCCTTTTCCAGCTCCAGAAAACTGTGGGAGGGGGAGGAGGGGGGGGGGGATTACGAATGCAACTGAAGATAATAGGCAAAGCAGATATCCGTCTCGAGGAGTCTGCGTGTGTCCGACCACGTGACCATCCACGTGACCGTCTGTGTGGCTATCTGTGTGTCCGTCCGGGTGTCTGTCCGCTTGACCCTCCATGTGTCGGTCTCTGGTGGAGTGTGCAGGACGTACTTGACCCTGGCGGCATCCGGTATGTGCTGGAGGTCAGAACGCAGGGCCAACACTCCGCGGAAGTGTCGCTCCAGCACTGTGATGAGGTAGTGCAGCAGGGTGATGTTCCTGCACGAGACATGGTGAGGGGGGTGGGGGGTGCATGGTGAGGGGGAGGGAGGGGGGTGTCCACGTCCCCATCGACTGCGAGATCCGTGTGCGTGTAGATAGAGGCAACGCGGCACGCCGGGAGTAATGAGGATGGCATGGAGGTTTATATTGCTGCCAGTGGTGGTGGTTACTGTGGTGGTGGTGGTGATTGCTGCTCACTCAGAGGAGGAGCTAGAGGCGCTGCTGCTGAACCTGGAGCGTGCCACGAAGAGGTGGGATCATCAGCCCGACCAAAGCTCAGCAACCTGCTTGGGTATTTTGTGCTATCGGACATTCTACCCCCAAAACTCCCATGTGGTAATGGGGCAGTTGTGAAGAGAGTGGAGAGTTTTCCATACTTGGACAGTGCGCTCATGACCAGCTCCGATTTGACAGCAGAGGCATTACTCTGAATCAGTCGAGCGGCATATTTTTATCAGCTGCGTAATGCTGTGTGAAAACTACCTGGGGTCTCTCGCTCCACATAAAGCTTTGGGTTTTCTCAGCCACGGTCATCCCTTCCCTTCTCTATGCTTGCGAAGCGTGGGGCCCTCTAATGGAACATCTTCGCCGGTTAGAAACATTTAGGCTGGTCTGCCTACGATCTATCCCATCAGTGAGCTCCTCTGCCAGGCAAGGCTGCGTTGGCTGGGTCATGTAGTCCGCATGCCCAGCCACCGCATGCCTAAACAGCTTTTGTTCGGCCGGATAGAGAGGGCTAAACGGGCGTGGCACGGGCTAGAGAAGAGATGGAGTGATGTGGTACAGGGGGACGTGGAGCTGAGTGGACTTGCCGATGACTGGTACCAGCGGTGTCAAGATCGGCCTCTGGAGGAGGCTGATGAAGGACGCTACTGGGCAGTTGGAGGCAGTCGCCCTCCAGCAATAACGGAGGGCAGAGGAGCGATGCTCACAACAATGAGCAGAGCGTCGGGTGGCTAAAACACAGCAAGTTGGCACAGTAGGGGGAACAGGTGGTGCATCGGCCAGTCATCTCAGTCGACCCATGGCACCTGGGTCTGTGCCGTGACCTGCCAGCGGGCGTTCGATACTTCACGTGGCCTTGATGTGCATATAGCCTGGCACAAGTCCTTTGGTGACGTCACCATCATTTAGTGGCGAATGGCGGTTGTTGTTGTTGTTGGCGGTTGTGGTTACTGTGGTGGTGGCGGTGGTTACTGTGGTGGTTGTTACTGTGGTGGTGGTTACTGTGGTGGTGGCGGTGGTGACTGTGGTAGTGGTTACTGTGGTGGTGGTGACTGTGGTGGTGGTTACTATGGTGGTGGTGGTGGTTACTGTGGTGGTGGCGGTGGTGACTGTGGTAGTGGTTACTGTGGTGGTGGTGACTGTGGTGGTGGTGGTGGTTACTATGGTGGTGGTGGTGGTTACTGTGGTGGTGGCGGTGGTGACTGTGGTGGTGGTTACTGTGGTGGTGGCGGTGGTCACTGTGGTGGTGGTTACTGTAGTCAGTCCCTCCAGAAAAACGCGATTATGCGATCGCAAGATTCCACGCAAAATCAGCCAAAGTCCGCATATTTATGCGGGGGGCGCGTTTTTTCAAATACGCCGCACTTTCGCCGCATAAATTGCAGATGTCCGCGCGCAAAATATGCGGGCTTGCATGATTTCATAATCCACGCATTTTCGTTGCAAAAAGTCACATATATCTTAGCAGAAAGTTGAAAAATGTTGCGTTTACTTCACACAAGCGCAGCCATTTCCCCTGTTGCCATGGGAACGTTATGAAGTGTTAGAGGCTACGTAGTTAGTTTTATTCAGGAGTTTATGCAACTTTACAGTTGTAAGATTGCACTTCTTTGTTAGTAGTATGTAAATTTACATTACTGTAAGACTGTACTGTTACTGTATTGCTTACGTTACTGTGCACTGAAAACACTTATTTTAACAGAAGATGTCTGTTTTGTATAGCTACCTCTGTAAAACAGGAAGCACACATTTTATTTTTTAATATTTTATTTTTTTATATTTTATTTATTCATTTTTACAGAAGTTGTAGCATATTCATTTAGTAAAGCTACAGAACTTGTTCGACTCAATGTTTTGTAAGTTTGAGCCATCTGTTTGTTAAGGTCTGAAATAAAACAAGATGAGAACTTAAATATTCCCAGCACTTTCTGTGATGTAGTATGCTTGCTTATCATAGGAAGTAATAAGAAATGACTCTTTACATTAAAGTAGTAGCCTAGTGAATAGGGTGTTGGGGGAATCACTTTTTTTTCTCTTTTTCATCAAACCGCAATTTTTGCAAGTTCCCGCAATTTAATCGCATAAAATTGCATAAATATCCCGCATATTCCATCGCATTTTTAAGAAAACGTGCCGCATAATCAACGATTTTTGCCCGCAACAATCACCAAAAAACTCCGCGTTTTTCTGGAGGGACTGTGTAGTGGTGGTTACTGTGGTGGTGGTTACTGTGGTGGTGGTAGTTAGTGTGGTGGTGGTGGTTACTGTGGTGGTGGTTACTGTGGTGGTGGTGGTTACTGTGGTGGTGGTTACTGTGGTGGTGGTGGTTACTGTGGTGGTGGTTACTGTGGTGGTGGTTACTGTGGTGGTGGTGACTGTGGTGGTGGTGGTTACTGTGGTGGTGGTTACTGTGGTGGTGGTGACTGTGGTGGTTACTGTGGTGGTGGTTACTGTAGTGGTGGTGGTTACTGTAGTGGTGGTGGTGGTTACTGTGGTGGTGGTGGTGGTTACTGTGGTGCTTACTGTGGTGGTGGTTACTGTGGTGGTGGTGACTGTGGTGGTGGTGGTTACTGTGGTGGTGGTTACTGTGGTGGTGGTTACTGTGGTGGTGGTGGTTACTGTGGTGGTGGTTACTGTGGTGGTGGTGACTGTGGTGGTGGTGGTTACTGTGGTGGTGGTGGTTACTGTGGTGGGTTGTGGGGTGGTTACTGTGGTGGTGGTTACTGTGGTGGTGGTTACTGTGGTGGTGGTTACTGTGGTGGTGGTGGTTACTGTGGTGGTGGTGGTGGTTACTGTGGTGGTGGTTACTGTGGTGGTGGTGGTTACTGTGGTGGTGGTGGTTACTGTAGTGGTGGTTACTGTGGTGGTGGTTACTGTGGTGGTGGTTACTGTGGTGGTGGTTACTGTGGTGGTGGTGGTTACTGTGGTTGTGGTGGTTACTGTGGTGGTGGTTACTGTGGTGGTGGTTACTGTAGTGGTGGTGGTTACTGTGGTGGTGGTGGTTAGTGTGGTGGTTGTGGTTACTGTGGTTGTGGTTACTGTGGTGGTGGTTACTGTGGTTGTGGTTACTGTGGTGGTGGTTACTGTGGTGGTGGTTACTGTAGTGGTGGTGGTTACTGTGGTGGTGGTTACTGTGGTTGTGGTTACTGTGGTGGTGGTTACTGTGGTTGTGGTTACTGTGGTGGTAGTTACTGTGGTGGTGGTGGTTACTATGGTGGTGGTGGTGGTGGTTACTGTGGTGTGGTGACTGTGGTGGTGGTGGTTACTGTGGTGGTGGTTACTGTGGTGGTGGTGACTGTGGTGGTGGTGGTTACTGTGGTGGTGGTTACTGTGGTGGTGGTGACTGTGGTGGTTACTGTGGTGGTGGTTACTGTAGTGGTGGTGGTTACTGTAGTGGTGGTGGTTACTGTGGTGGTGGTGGTGGTGGTTACTGTGGTGCTTACTGTGGTGGTGGTTACTGTGGTGGTGGTTACTGTGGTGGTGGTGACTGTGGTGGTGGTGGTTACTGTGGTGGTGGTTACTGTGGTGATGGTTACTGTGGTGGTGGTTACTGTGGTGGTGGTTACTGTGGTGGTGGTTACTGTGGTGGGTGGTGACTGTGGTGGTGGTGGTTACTGTGGTGGTGGTTACTGTGGTGGTGGTGGTTACTGCGGTGGTGGTTACTGTGGTGGTGGTTACTGTGGTGGTGGTGGTTACTGTGGTGGTGGTTACTGTGGTGGTGGTGGTTACTGTGGTGGTGGTGGTTACTGTGGTGGTGGTGGTTACTGTGGTGGTGGTGGTGGTTACTGTGGTGGTGGTTACTGTGGTGGTGGTGGTTACTGTAGTGGTGGTTACTGTGGTGGTGGTTACTGTGGTGGTGGTTACTGTGGTGGTGGTTACTGTGGTGGTGGTGGTTACTGTGGTTGTGGTGGTTACTGTGGTGGTGGTTACTGTGGTGGTGGTGGTTACTGTGGTGGTGGTGGTTAGTGTGGTGGTTGTGGTTACTGTGGTTGTGGTTACTGGTGGTGGTTACTGTGGTTGTGGTTACTGTGGTGGTGGTTACTGTGGTGGTGGTTACTGTAGTGGTGGTGGTTACTGTGGTGGTGGTTACTGTGGTGGTGGTTACTGTGGTGGTGGTGACTGTGGTGGTGGTGGTTACTGTGGTGGTGTTACTGTGGTGGTGGTGACTGTGGTGGTTACTGTGGTGGTGGTTACTGTAGTGGTGGTGGTTACTGTAGTGGTGGTGGTTACTGTGGTGGGTGGTGGTGGTTACTGTGGTGCTTACTGTGGTGGTGGTTACTGTGGTGGTGGTTACTGTGGTGGTGGTGACTGTGGTGGTGGTGGTTACTGTGGTGGTGGTTACTGTGGTGATGGTTACTGTGGTGGTGGTTACTGTGGTGGTGGTGGTTACTGTGGTGGTGGTTACTGTGGTGGTGGTGACTGTGGTGGTGGTGGTTACTGTGGTGGTGGTTACTGTGGTGGTGGTGGTTACTGCGGTGGTGGTTACTGTGGTGGTGGTGGTTACTGTGGTGGTGGTTACTGTGGTGGTGGTTACTGTGGTGGTGGTGGTTACTGTGGTGGTGGTGGTGGTTACTGTGGTGGTGGTTACTGTGGTGGTGGTGGTTACTGTAGTGGTGGTTACTGTGGTGGTGGTTACTGTGGTGGTGGTTACTGTGGTGGTGGTTACTGTGGTGGTGGTGGTTACTGTGGTTGTGGTGGTTACTGTGGTGGTGGTTACTGTGGTGGTGGTGGTTACTGTGGTTGTGGTGGTTACTGTGGTGGTGGTTACTGTG